TACTTCACCTCCTACTTCCGCGACCTGCCCCTGTCGGACAACGGCCGCATCTCCCGCGACACCCAGGACCTGGTGGAGGGAACCACCCTCTTCACTTTCCCCTAGACGCCTGGCGTGGGAGGAGGCGGACAAAGAGGGGGGGCGACGAGAGCAGAAATTGCGTTTGTCTTTTTTTAATCTCTTTTCTGGGGATGCCTCCAGAAAAACAAAGCCAAAGAGCAGAAAGCAAGATGTGTGATGTTGGCCGGTGACACATGTGGGGCGTGGCGTGGCAGTTCTGGTCTCGGTCTCGGGCCGAGCCGAGGAGCTGGAGCCTTTCCAGGCCACGCGGATATGTACGTGGTAGGGGACGATAGCGTAAGTGTATGCCAGAGATAGATATGTAATTAAATGTACACGGTTGGGGACGTCGAGGCGTGCATAGAGTGGAGGGAGAAAGGACAGGGGCCCTCTCGCCTTCGGTCCTCTCATTTTATGATTTATACGAGCCCGTGACTGACGCAGAGACTCAATGCGCCAGTGCGAGGCGACAGGACGAGGGAGAGCGCAGAAAAAAAGGATTCCTGAGATAGGGCCTCTGATTTAGCAATTGTTAATCGACTTTAGTCCCATCAACAAAGGTTTAAAATAGCCGAGACGCGAACCGAGTAATATTTGACAGAGTACTGGCTTTCGTTTGATTGATTTCTTTTATTTCTTACTTGCAACATGGCAACCACACTTATGTTGGGAGGCACTCGTCCTTGTATGCTTACCCACACTCGCAACCTCGAGCCGTTCTTTTGTCCTATCAAAAGATCCTTCATTGAAAATGAAGTCGACGAAGAAGAGCAAATTTCAACTTTGCAGCATCGATCGCTCTCTCTAACCCCAATTGCCAGGATCTTGGTCCCACAGGCTCGAAAGTTTCTTCCTTCACAGCGCGTCTTGAGAACGTTGCTGGGCGATGAGAAGATCCGAAAAGTGAGAGTCCGTTCCGTTTTGCACCGCAAACCTGACAGCCTTGGGCGCCTGGCCGTAGCATTCTTCTTGTGTCCAAAATTGTCCATTTCCAGCGGAGTATGAGGAACAAAGAAGCAGTTCGGGCGCGAAAAACTCGTTCCGAGTCTCGGTAGTATTTTGAAAAGGGTTCCAGGTGCCCAGCATGTTGTTGGTAGAGAGCACCAGGTAAAATCCTCGAGGCAAGCGGGCGTGTTCATCTCGTAAGTCGATGGGTTCCTCGTCAGGAATGAGCAGCAGACCCCAAGCTTGCATATACAGCGGGTCGAAATTTGCGAATGAGAAAGCCTGGTGGAAGATTCCGTAGCGCCCGGGCCCACCCATGCGGGGGCTGCCGTTTCGAGCAGTGCCCGAATTCGGGGTAGTGGTGAAAGGATCAATGCCGGCATTGTCAAGACCCCCCAGGTCTCCATGCGAGGCAGCAGACAGGTCAAAATACCGCGCATAGGCGATTGGCCACTCCGACTCCAACTTGCGGGTGATGGGTACCCGTAGTTTGGTCCAGGTGGCGTAATTGTCGAAGCGACCGACAAAGAGACGCCGCAGAGTACTGGGGATACGGGCAATGTGAAGGTGGAGCTGGTGCTGGGAGCGGGTACTGGCCGGTTCGAGGGCGATCCCGATGTTGCACGATGTCACAGAGACAGGAAGGTCGGCCTCGCTTCCAAAGGGGAGGAAAGGTAATTGTTGGTAAGGTTTGAAGGCGAGAAGCCAGGCTAGGTCCCAGATCCGCTCCAGGGCGGGCGACAGGACCTGGCGGTCTTCAATTCCAATTACAGGCCAGTCTGCTGCTTTGCTGCCCGGCATCAACAAATAGTGTGCGGGATCATTCGCAGACGTGGCCAGCAGCGTATGCTTTCCATCCTGGGTTTGGTAACATTGTTCCCCTTGTGTGCATGGTAGTGATGTCAGCGGTCCTTGGTAATAGCCACCGCGAATTTTCCTCCATAGCAGGCACGCTTGGCTCCGGGTGCTGGACTCGGGATAGTCGCAAGTGCGCCTGAAATTGGCCAGCACTCCGTAGCGATCGAAGGGCAAGAAGTTGCCCGTGCCAAAGGCGCTTTCGTCCGGAGGTAAATTATAATTCATCCCTATGGTAGATGCAAAGCCAATGGAGGGTGGATGGATAGGAGGAAAAGCGCTGTCGAGTTTGCCGTTTGCTTGAGCTATCTCAATGTACCAGACAGCAGTTTGGTTCAGGATACATAAAGAAGAAAGGACAGGTTCAGACTGGGATTTAAGGGCGTGTGACGTACCGAGATTTAGGCCACAGCATTGAGAGTCTGACGGCCTTTCAGGACTGTCACGGCAGAGTTCGCCTGCTTGACAGGCAGTGACCACATCTTTGCGTAAGGGTGGCACAAAAAACTCGCTTCCCTTCGTGAATACATGGATGATGCGGGTGAGATTACATCCACATACTTTATTTTTACATAAACTTTTCCTACTGTCATTCTTTCAGAACATTACCCGTGGTAGTGCACCGCATTCTTCTTTGCATGAATGACGGCCGTGCAGCGTGGATAAGCATTCAGCGCAGGCAATAGCGGCGGCACCCATTAGATTTGGAACGACTCGGAAGGGAGCAATACATCCATCGACTCCTGTCTGAGGACCATTGTATATTGTAATTGCTAACTTAGTCTGTTGAATGTTCTAAAAGCCATTTTATTTTTTGTACGGTACATTTGCCTCTTGCCTAATTCCTGCCTTGTTCGAAAGTCCCTTACCGTCCTTTCTGCAGAGGCCAAAAGCGGCTGCAGCATACAGACAGCGCAAGCCAGGCTAAAATGTAAGAGATGCATATGCGAGAGATCCAGGCCTAGTTTGTGTTGGTTGATAAACACCTTAGACGGACTCATTGCAGGAATATTGTTAAATCGAGCCGTTGTTTCTCTGTTTCGAGCTGCCCACCCTCAGGTAATGCACTTCCCACATGCAAGACTCACTTTCGAGGAGCCTTTCAAACCCCCACAACAAGCAGCATATTTTTTCATTTCATCTTTCAAGGCCTAGGCTGTACCCAAAGACGGTCGACATAAGCGTCTTTTGGGTTTTGTGCCCCCCCGATAACCTCCCCCCTCCCTCCACAAGCACACGCATGCGTGCCGTCGCCGCAGCGATATCGCCTTCAGCCTTTATCTGTTGGCTGAAGTCGTGGTCTCAATATCAATCGGGGGCATGGATCGACCCCCCTCCAACGCACCTGGTACCATTGACCCTTGGAAACGTGACACATGCATCCTTTCTAACAGCCATGGAGGAGATCAAGGAAGCGCAAGCGGGGCAGGAACCGAAACGAAGTAAGGAAGCCATTCTGGCTGCTATTGGCGTGGACAGCCTGCGTCCTCGACAAGACCCCTTCCAGGCGGCTTTGGAAGCAAACTACACTGCAGAATGTGAGAAAGCTCGAAAACGTGCAGAGCGTTTTGGCGTCGAGTACAAGGCGCCCGATAAGGCAGTGTTGTTCGCGGCAGAAACCAAACGCGCGCAAAGAATGCGTCAAGACGAAGGGTTTTACGTCACCATCGACCTGGATTCGGAGGCAGAGAGGGCCAAACAACAAGCGCGTGGGGAGCGGTGGGGTCATTCGGAAACCTACGTGAAAGCCAAGGACGATGCAGAAGAAGCCGCCAAGAAAGCAGAACGGGCCGCTCGGTTCAATTTACCCACTGCGCAGGCCGTGGGTGGGATTCTGAGAAAAATGGGGCTAAACCCTCGTTACATGTATTTGGCCGACGCCACGCGCCGGGACCCGGGGCGCCAAGCGTCGTCCACATCGGGACAGGGAGGGGACAAGACGTTGCCGGGCTTCATGGGGGACAAGGACGGCGCGGGCTTGAGTCTATCCAAGGGCCTCGTTTCCCCTCCGGAGGAACGTCTGGAGGAGACGAAGGTGCACATGCACGCCTTGGACAAGGAATGTTTTCGGGCCATGCGCAGCGGCGACGTGCTTCGGTTTTTCAACGAGTTTTTCCCACGGTGTAGGTGCTGGGAGGGAAAGGGGTGGGGTGAAGGGCAGGCGCGCGGACCTCCGCTCTCGGTCTCACCCTCCTTCCCTCCCTCCCTCCCTCCCTCCCTCCCTC